AGGACTAGTTCCCAGGCCTCTGCTCACCTAATAATCAGCCATGCTTTCTGTAGCATCTCAGCGTGCCAGCCAAATACTGACCCTGTCCCTCTTACTTTGGAAGAGGCGAGGGAGCCAGGGCAGAATTAGCTGCTTTTGCAGTAGTCCCAGGTGGACAGAGAGTGATTCACAGTTCCTGAGCAAAGGGAGGGGACCATGGAAGGTTTGTTTTAAACAATCTGTACTGTGTATACGTGGCAAATTGTCATGGCAGCTTCTGGGCTGTCAAGCTTGTACTTGCCATTTTGTAGCCCATTGATCTTGAAAGCAGAAAATATCTACAATGTGTTGTGCTCTGGCCAACACATCTCCTGTGCAGGGATTTGGAAGTTGGGCTAATGCAAAATACGTGGACCAGATCTGCATGGAAGGTGTCAGGAGATGGCACGTTCCCATCTCTTTCCATCTAATGCAGAAGCTAGCTAGCTGATTACAGACAAAGCTGTTCTAAACAAAAGTTGACAGTCCAGGCTTTGTTACATTGAGAAGGATGGAAAATACCCTTGGTCTTTTGAATAACCTTTCTGTTGTTTGTGATTGAATATGATCCAATTGCTCTAATGGAGGGGAATATTATGCACAGCATGAGTCAGCAACACTTTCTTTCTGGAACAGCTGACAGCAAAGAAAGTTCCCAAACTCTCTGCAGAAATATGCTTCCCCCCCCCGGAGAAGGATCTGGGCTGTGTCCGCCAATACCTGCTGATGTCTCCCCTTGAGATGGACCTGTACTTGTCTGACTGGAATATGGAACCATCCAAGGTTCATTCAAGGTTAGAAGACACAACTTGATGCGAAGCAAAAGCACTCGTCAGCCTGACACAGAAGAAGAGAGGGAAGCCAGTCACAGAAGTTGGGAGTGCCAGTGCATGTTCTAGCAGTTGTGAGCTTTGAAATGAGGCCCTCAACAGCACTGTCAATGGGAGGATGTTAACAGTTCCAAATGCTTAGGCTCATCTGAGGTCATCCAGTAAATAAGACTGGGCTGTTTCTTGTGAAATAGAGATCTACAGCCACCAGCTAAAGGGTGGTTAGGAGCAGATTTGAAAGTTACTAATCAACATGTGTACTCTCCACTCTGTGACAGCAAAAAATAGACTAAAAATTCTTGCCCTATTGGGATAAATTAAATAAGGTGGCGTATTTAAAAATACTAAATCTTTGAAGCATGCAATGGGCTCCTAGGTAAAACTGTGGACTTTGGTGAAAGTTTTCCCTGCAGAAGTTTTCCCTGCCTTGCTATATACTTCCCTCAGAGATTAACCCCTCTGCCTACTGATGTTGTCCTGTTACAGTGTGTTGTGTTGAGAACAACCATCTGATCTAATGTTCCAGCAAGTGCACTGAAACGGATCTGGCTTCCAAACAGTCTCCCTGTACAAATCCATACTCCCACTGGAAATTTTTGCCAAGCAAAGCTACAGTCTGATAAGCAATCCCAAGTTTTTGATTGAATTTTGTTCATTCTGTTGTGGCTGTTGGATATTTGCTGCCACTGGATAAAGTTTCTGGCAGCTACCAAGTAATTAGCTATGGTGGCATCCAGTATTTTCCTATGGAATGAATATTTCTGCCAAAGGTGCCAGCCCAAAGCAGAGCACTGCTGCTCTTTAAAGAATCCAGACATATTAAACTACCTAAATCACTACCTGTTCAATGCCAAGTAACCCAGCCTCCTCGCTGCTCTGTGCTCAGGTCCATCAGTGTGCCAACTGCTTCTTTCCCGTGAGCTGAGACCTTGCTCTGTGCCAAACCACATCCACTGAGGTCTCTGCTCTCCACCTTGGACCACCAGGGAGAGGAAGGATGCGGGCACATAGGCAAGACTCACATTTCACAAAGTTCCTACCAATTTTAAGAAAGTTTACAACAGAGCCCTAGACCTTAAAAGAACAGTGTGATTGCCACAAAGAACAGTGTGGGAAAACCAGTATACATGCATGTGCAGCCCTCCTACACACACACTGACTACCCCAGATATAGGCATACCCACAGATCAGCACCTACACACAAATGTTTTTGACACACTTATTCTCAGCATCCTGTTCTCTTACAGCAGCCTCAGTTGGAGGAAGGGAGAAAATATGTTCCTTCTAACCTAATCTTCTAATGACCTTTCTGCCAACTCCACTCTCCTGCCTGTCTCTAAGCTGCCCGAGGTGGTGATGGGAACAAGATCTCAATGTAGAGAGTGATTTTCCTCCTCAGAGGTCAGCAGGGTCTGTCTGCTAGATTGTGATGTGCTGCCCAATTGCTCTGAAGAGATTCAGGGTAAATAAGGAGATAAGAAAATTGTTTATGATCACATCTCTTGGGCCCCTTGCAGCTCTGCCAGAGTTCTTGCAGAGCTGAAGGACTGTGACTGTGCTGCAAACCTGGTGCAAGTGGGCTCCCATCACCTCTTCCCTTCCTGGATTGCAAACTCCCTGACAAGCCTGGCAGCAGGTCTCAGCCCTCTCACGCTGCCCTGCACATTTCCTACAGCTGCCTGGAACTGCAGGGAAGAAAAGCAGGAGAGCAGGAAAACGCGGCAGCATGCCATGGTGGCTGGCTCCAAACGCTCTGGTACAAGCTAGTATTTAGAGGGTGACCATCTCAACTTTTGTTGAGAGGCTTTTAGAGCTCTGTAAGGCATGCTCAATGCCTGTCTTCCAAAGCTGTCCCGTGACAGTCTGGGGGCTGTGATGGATTCTTTGGCAGGAGATGCCTGACTCCCTTGCTCTGCTCCCTCTCTCTGGGAGGATGCGGGAGACGGACACTTCTCAATTGCATGGTGTTCCTGGCCTCTGCGCTGCCTGTTGAGGGGAGATTCATTAGCAGCAGGGAGGCGATTCTCTCTCCTCTCTGCTCTGGAATTGGAGTCGTTTGTCTCAGGAAGGAGCCCAGGCGCCTCGCTCGCTGTGTGGCAGCTTCTGCTCAAGGGAGACAAGCGGTTTGTCAATAAACAAGGAGCCTGGGGAATGGCTCCAGCTGACAGAGATATTATTAACAACCAGCACTTTGGCAGAGGGTAGATCAGCCTCCCATTAGCTGCTTTAAGAGGGGAAGGAGAAATAGAGCTAAAGATGGTAGCCTTGAGAGGAGCTGGGAGTTTCATCATCCTCCTGCATAGTCCTCCACTGCATGGCCCAGGGCTTGCACAGCCCCCAAGGAGTGACTGTGTATTTTCCCAGCATCAGGGGTCCTCGGACTGGGACAGCAGGAGACAGGCCCAGCTCAGGAACAGTTTCACTTCCCAGCCCACCAGGGGTGGGCCCCGCTGTGGAGGTATTCCACGCCAGAACTTCCCCAACCCCTCGGTCTCTCTCTCAGTCTGCCCTTGGGTTCAAGGCGTGTCTTCCATTATCTCCTACTGCAGCTTCTTGCTTTGGAGGGCCTTTGGACCTTTTTGCAACTCCTTCCTAGGTCACGCAGTGAAGAAGGCATTGAGGGGATCTGAGAGGAGGCTGTTCCACTGCCTTTGTTCTTGGGCAGTAGTTAGTACAAGAAAGAGCAAGAAACATCATCCCACATGGCTATGCATTTCTGGCTACGACTGGAAGAAAGTCTGGTGACTCTTGTCATAGTTGGACTCCTAAACTCATCTCCTTCAGTGGCAAAAGCCTCTAAAGCAACTGTTGCTTCACCTTACAATCATACTGAATCTGCTGCAGCACCGTCAGAGTGGAAGCAAAGAAATCCCTGCTTTGTTGTGACATTGATAGTTCATCCTTCTCTCTCCTACAGCTGCCAGAGAGTGAGTCCTTGGCTCCTGCACAAAAAGCATGTGGTGCAAGTGCTCAGCCCATGGGTTAGGTCTTTGTAGAGCCTTTTGTCTGGGACCACACTCACAAAGAAAGTTGTGAAATCTTCAGCTGAACACCTGAGAGTCCAACCAGCTTGCTGCATAGACAGGGTGTAGGTCATCTTGGTCTTCGCAGTTCTTGAAGGAGGTAGCTCTTCATGCCATGGCTTCTTATCACTGTGGAGCTGCAGCCATGATGGCTTCATAGCTAAGGGTACATTCACTATTCTGATCATATTGCCTGGGTGTGATGGTGAGGTTTTTATGCAACTTAAATCTCTTTTCAGACTGAATGCTCTTATGCTCAGCCTGAGATCAGAGGAAAATGTACTGGGGACTCATCCCTTTTCTTTCAGAGATTATTCTGTTACCACAATAGGCCTGAATTCCAGAGTTTGGAGCTGTCTCTAGGTTTAGGAGCCCCTTATTTATTCCAGGACTTTGGTTCTCGGAAATGGAATGGATGGATCCATTTTAGTGGTCCAAATTCTTTGCTTCACACTACCCAGCCCAGGGCTGTTCAGCTTTAGAATTCCAGTGTGAGCCCATCTTTGGCAGACTGGTGCAGGTAAACCGCCAGTTAATTTCTACTTGCAGAAAGCTGGAAAAACTTTACCACAAGACTGGCTCAAGGTCTCTCCCTTGTGGTTAAAAATTACTATCCTGGGGTTGAAAGTGTTGCAGGGTCCCTGGGATGCTGCCTCCAGACTTGCTTCCACCATGGCAGGAGAAGAATGAGGAACTACTAGGTCTGCTGGTATTTATAAGATGAAACAGGTCCCACCCAGATAAATGGTCCATTTCTGCTCCCAAATGAATTCTGGACTCTGCCCCAAGCCCCTAAGTGGATTGCCTTCTGGCCAGCCTATTTCTCTGGTGATTGAAAAGCTGAGAGGAGTTAGAAGGGGGGCGGGTAGGGATGCGATGTTCAGAGGCTGTGTGGACCCAAACTAGCTGGATTCACTGAACTCATCACTGAAATCACTTCTTGCAGTGCCTCTCTGTTTTAATTCTCCCTGAATCAGCCCTCTCCCATGAGTGAAACAATCTTGCCTGCAGATTGAGGGGGGTGGGAGGGATTTGAACATTAATCTGATGTAGATTATACATCCGCCTCCCTCTCTCTCCCCTTCTCACTCTCTCTCTCCCTCTCTCTCCCTCTCTTTCTGTCTGTTTCTCTCCCCTCCCTCTCCTTCCTGCTTCATCTCTTCAAGAAAGTGAACATAAAGTAAAAACACGGAGAGGGAGAGGCAGAGAGAGAAAAAGCTCCCTGAAGAGGGAAGCCCCAGCAGCCAGTAGCTGTTTGGATTTGCCTGGCGCTGCCTTTCTTGCTTTGCTCCCAAGGAATACCTTTAATGGGATCAATTGCTTCAGTTCCTTTATAACCAAGTCCACCGGAAAGGCAGACTCAACATATTATGGGCAACTGTGTGAAGTCTCCACTGAGAAACCTCTCAAAAAAGGTATGTTCCCTGTATCAAAGTGCATTGTGCATTTCCAGCCCTGCTTCTTGGGATGGGTGACGTCGTGGGCAGATGGGAACGGGAGGTGGGGGAAACACAGAGATGTGTACGAAGGGTTCAGCTCTCTTCATCAGTTGTTTGTTGTAAGAGCTGCTCATGCCAGTGCAGCCGTTAGAGCCTGGGATGCTGGATGCCACTGCATGTGTGTAAATAAATGTGTGTATATGCATGCACATGAGTAGGCTTGTGTCCTGCTCTGTGTATGTGCGTATAGCTGTCCTCTGGGTACGTGCGACATTGTGTTTGTTGATATGCACAGTATGTTGGCACACACCTTCTATACAGGCATCTTAATGTATGTGTGTATGTGCAAGTTTGTGTGTGTGCATGTGTTTCAGTCGAGAGGTGTCTGCATAAGTCTAGTCATGTGTGTAATTTCTGTAGGGACGTATGTTCATGTACATGTAAATGGGCATTTATATGTACGTATTCCTGTTGATGTATAAGAGTATGCATACCTAATGACCCATCTGAAGTATGTGTGTGTCCTTAGCTCTTTATGTCCTTACGTATGCATCCTGAGGTGCGTGAGCAGGTGTGCAGTGTTTGTTGTGAGTGTATAGGGGGGGAATTTGTGTGCATCACACATGTTGTCTCTGCTTGTATGGTGTTCTCTGTGTGTGTATCTGCTAGTGGATGTCCTCACAGAAGTCTGTATGTAGACATGCGTGTGTTTTTATGTATATTCATCCTTGCCTATGCACACATCTAGTTTTGTTAGTGTGTGTTTGGGTACAGAAGCATGTTTTTCTGTGTGATCTGTTTGTCCATGCCTCTGTGAGTGGATACACTGGGCCCTGGCTGTGTGTTCGTGCATCATGTCGCACGTCAGCACGGCCCATGTGTCTACATGCTTTGGCCCAGCTGGACTTCATCTGCGAGCTGCCATGTGTATCTCTTAGGCTTCAACCTGCGGTCTGCTCTGTGCTGAGGTTTTACAGTGATCCCAGGGCCAATTTGATTCAGAATGATTCTGCTGTTCTGGGACTAGATTGAAATGAGAATGACATGACCAGAAATATTTCTTGTTTGACTGAGGAAGGCCTTGCAGCACTGCGTACCTGTCAGCCGCATGGTTCTCACTTAGCATCGCTGCACATCTAATAACTCAGCAAAAAGCTATGCAATTCACTCCTCATAAATGAGAAAGTTATGCTAAGCATACAAAGTATTGCAATGAGGAGCTACCTCTGTGGAGACCTTGCCAACAGTGAAATGCCACTGCCATGAGGATGCTCCACCCAGGAGACCTTGCCATCCTCTGAGAGGGAGCTGCTGGGGAGAGGACCTCCCTAGCAAGGAGTTTCTTCTGGCCAGAGATTTACCTCTTCTGTGTAGAAACACAGTTTGCTTGTTACCTCGGCTGCTGTAAACAAAGCCAGGAATGGCACAGTGCTGCTGCAAGGAAGTGGGGGTACACGAGGAGGGAATTCATCACCAGGCAGTTAGGCAGTGCTGAGACCAGTCCCTAGGTCAGGGTGACCTTCAGGGCAGAAGTCGTTGATGTTTACCCAAATGCTGCACATCTGAAAAAACAATTTGGTTGCTTGTAGGTCGCCTCCAACTTGCAATAAAAGGAGTTGGCTGCAGCTGTGCTCAACATGGCCAAGGTGATTGCAATTAAAGTCTGACGTGTGGCCAGGCTGCTTGAATCAAAATGGATTCAAGAACTTACAAGTTCTGTGTCATCAGTCTTTTAGGTAATTTATGCTTTCATTCCTAAAAGCTGCTTCGAATAATGCACTTTGTGCCTAGTTAGAAGGCCTGGGATGGCAGGACTAAAGAGAGAAAGTTGCAAAGCTGAATTAGAGAATTTCTCAGACCACTCCAGCTAGCCATGAATTAAGGCCTTGGGCACTCATCCTGACAAGTTCTGGGGCTCTGCTGTTCTTTTGATCACGACATATGTGATTATAGTGGAGACTTTGCAGATCAGTGTTAACATTGCACAACTTCACCTGTCTGTTTTATGATCCTGGTCTTTCTTCTCAGATTTTACCTTGGGCAAACTCATTTTGATAAAATGGTAAAGAGGAAGGACTCTAGACAACGTGTGTGAAAGCTACTCTTGGGTGACAGACTGATCTCTTGAATACATTATTTCAACCCGAAATCTGGGAGTCACTCCCAGGCACTGGCTGGCTTGGTCTGGGCCTGACTGACATGGGGGTACCTTGCCTGTTTTGGTGGCAATGCTCAGGCTTTGTCTCCACAGCATCTGTTGTTGGCAGCTTCCCTTTCCCACTGTCACAGTGTCTCCTCGGTGAGTCCAGCGGCCAGCCCGGCTGCCTTTCCCTCTGAGAGGCACTGCAGTCATGATGAAGAGGCCCCTCCTGGGCTTGTCACTCTGCAAAGTCCCTCTGACACACAGGCAGGAAAATGAGGTGAATCCTGTTGTGCTTCTGCTGTGCAGAAAGGGAAAGTTTTGGCATCCAGGTCCCTTGCCTCGCCACCCTTCACCATCACTACAGCCATCTCTAAATCAGCCCGGTCTCTTCCCTATCTACAGTCTGCTGGTCTGATGCCGCCAAGGGCTGGACTCAGCCAGGAAGAGTAGTGGCCCTTTGCTCAGAGAAGGGACAGGGAAAGCCTGAGCTCCTCAGTCCTGTCCTTGCATTTTCCTTGTCGTGCATGCTGCTCTTTCCCCTGTAACGGGCAGCTAACGTTGCTTTGCCCCGTACCCATATCACAGCTCCCTTTCTGGCTCTGCCAGGATGTAGGAGAAATGTGGTGGAGGGAACTTGTGGGGATACTTGCAGGAGAAACCTGGGGCGGCTGCTGGCAGGGGGAACATCAAATGCCATAAATCCTGCCTGCAGTGGCACAGCGGGGCAGGGATCCCCTGTTGGGGTCTTGCTAAGATGTGCACCTTGTTGTCCTGGCACTGCGTCGGCTTGTCTGGTCAGGATCCTTGGTGGCTCTTGGCAACTGTTTCATCAAACTGGCAATCTCCATCTGTACAGGAAAATAATGGGATGACCGTTCTGTGGTACTGCTCTGTGGCTTGGTAATAAGCTCTATTGACTGGAAGGGTCAGCAAGCGAGGACTAGGGGCTCAGGGGCCTTCGATCTTTCATGTGGCTTCACTGGGATTAAACACAGAACTGCTGTGGGCTATTTTAAGTGATTCATATTATTTGTTATATTAAACTGAAAAATGTGCCAGGAAATAAAGCGAATAGTTTTGAAAATATATTGCACTGATATCACAAAGCTGTGCAGTTCAACACAGATGCCTTGACTTTTAGCTGAGCTAGTAATATGCCATTTGTGGACGGATGCTCATCTTTCAGGTTTTTAAGGACAAATGTCCTGTGTGTCAGATTTAATCAGAGACAGTTTTCTTCCTCATCCATGACTGCAATGAAAACGCTTTTCTGCTTCATCACTTTCTTTCTCCATGGCTTGCTTTTTGAGTTGTTTTTGTTTTGATGCTTGATATTCACATGACATTATACATGAGCAGATTGGTGTAAGACTGTGTACAAAGATGCGAACTACAAACCATGTGCGCAATATAATAGCACATGGCAGGTGCAGCAAGCAGATACAATAGACTCGGACAAGTGTGAATGGGCCGTGTGTGTGTATCTGGTCTTTTAGCCTGAAAAAGCACCTCAGGCTTTAAGGAAAGGGTTAATAGAGACAACGACAATTGACAGAGCTTCTCTGATCACCTCTGGGAACACTGGCTGTAAAAGTAGAATCATTCCTGGAGAGAAATCTGATGCATGATTAATGTTTATTCTATAAAACCAAGGGTCCTGTGGGTTGTGCTGGCTTTTTATAGCTGCATGGGAATATCAGGATAAGAGTTTTCTTGCAGAGCCAGGGAAATGCATTTCTATAAAAGGAAGGCAGTGCCTCCTTATAAAATCCAGTGCTGGATTCTGTTCTGGAGCCCTAGCTTAGCAGAACGTGTGCACTTAAGAAAATGTGCAAATGTAAACAGACAAAAATGTTGTGCCCGTGCCTGATCTCCACTTTGGGACTGTTAAGTGATTAGAAGAGGCCAGAGCAGTAACTGCCTGAGACCCTGAGGATGCAACTAATTAGAAGTGGCATGGGGAGTGTGAGCCTGCAGTTGGCAGAGCCACCTCATGCTGTAAATGGCCTTCTAATAATATTATAAAGCGTGTGATGCTGTGTTGCTGAAATGTAACGTGTAGCCTAACACAGGGTCTTTGCGCAGGCTCTGCCTGGTCCCCTGGGGATGCCCTGACCGACGCGGCTCTGCCAGCAGCTTTGCCCGGGGCACAGGCTGGCACATGTACCGTTGGGTTGGGGTGTGCTTTTTGCTTTTCTTTTCCAGCTCATTCAAGGGATCGTTAACTCTGGGGCTGATAGTGGGAGTGTGGCCCTTTGGGCTGTGTCTGGGTAGATGCGAGCAGTGCTGAGAGTTTGATGTCGTTTCAAAGTGAAATTCTCCTGGTTGGTTGTACTTCTATCAGCTTTTGAAAGTGAACTCCTGGACTTATTGCTTCTGTACAAATCCTAATAGACTGGTGGGGGGGACACAGCGTGGACCAGATGAAGGAAATTTAGCAATAATGTCTCTGCGAGGCGGTTCAGTAAAACTTCAGAGGAACGGCTGGGCAAGACGGGGAGGTAACATCCTCTGTTGTGTTGTTTGCTTGCTGCTGGTTGGATGGGAAGATCCGCCATGAGGAGAAGACGTGCTATAAGGCTGTCCAGACGAGCGAAGAGGGGCCGTCGGCTTGCGAGTACCAGGGTCCACTCATGGTGCTGGCCCAGAACTGCGCCGTCATGCACAACCTGCTGGGGCCAGCATGCATCTTCCTGAGGAAGGGCTTCGCAGAAAACAGGCAGCCTGTACGTAAGTTACACCCAGCCGGGCGAGACATGCACAAAGCCACGTGGACGTGAGCCGGGGATGCGGAGCTGCCCGCATGCTCTGTCTGCACGGAGCTCTGTAACCCCCAGCCCTGGGTCTCAAGCATCCCGGCTCCAGCTCCAAGTACAAATACAACCACAGGCAAATGTCTAACCTGAAGGATGTGCCTAAACACCAAGAAAGGAGGATTCTAAAAATGCAGCTATAGAAGATAGATCCAAGCCTACACTCAAGTAGGCATAATCATATGGACTCAGGAGAAGGATTTAGGACTTGAGGACTTACATAATCATATGGACTCAAGAAGAGTCCAGTGTTCAAAGCTGTTACTCCAGCAAGACACCCATATCTCATTCCCAGAGGCTCAGATTATCATTTAAGGCCTAAGTAGCCACTTAAATGCAAATCAGGGCATCCATATTGGGAACAAGCTGTCCCACAGAGATGCCCATATTTGATACTATTCCAGTCAGCTCACAGTGAGCACACTAGTACCAGCAGAAATAAGCATGCGTCTGCCTCCGCACAGATCCCAAATGCAGTCTCTTATACACTGTCATACACAGCCTGACACTGCAGCAATCCCAGCCAAATAAACCAAAGAACATCAGTCTGTCCTCGTATTTGCAAATAGTGCCAGACAACCAAATGCTATTACCCGTACACACACAGAGACAAATAGCAAAATCATCTACCCATTCAGTCACACCTGTTTGTAACTGTGTGTTAATATGCATCTAATGCATACATTTATACACAATCAATTAAAATATGTGTTTGTATGTAAATTCAAATACATACACCTGGACATGTTAAATATACATAAATATGCACCCCAGTATTCTATCTTTACAAGACATAAAACGTATCCTTGCACACAAACATTTGATTCCTACAGTAATGTACATTTAAAGACATACACAAACATATGATTAACACACTTTTTATGGATACATATGAGTGAATATGTGCATTGTCAGATATTCAGCCAGTGTGTTCCATATTCTTCTGAAGCTCAACAAAGCTCACCCCAATTACCCGAGAGTCAGAGCTTTCTTGCCACTGTAAGAAACCTCTGTCTTACTCGTGTTTTGAAATGGTTATCTACAGCTATAGGAAACACCTAGATCTTTATTTCTGAAACTTCTTCTTCAACCAACAACGCAAAAAAAGAGTCATTAATTGTCATTGTTGATCAAAGGGCTTTTGTTCTTCCTAACCTTCAGCCACTAAATGATCACATACTCCTTGTGCTGGTTCACGAAAACACAAAACGTAATATTCGCACACAAGCACGCTTGCTGACATGCACAGAGCTACCTGCCATAGGAGGCAAGTCCAGCTCCCTAGTGGAAGGCTCACAGCTGGACAGGTATCCATCCTGCATAGGCCCTGGAAACTCACAGTACCCTAAGACGGCTCCAAAATAGGATTAGTGATGTCTCCCTGATGTAGAATAAGTGCATCTGATGATAAACAGCTTTACTTTTACGGACTTTCTAGACCAACAGGATTTATTGTGCATAGAACAGAAATAAATGAGGGTAAGACCATTATGTATAATGGACTCTCTGAGGGTAACCTCTGCTCATATCTAGGATCTAAACTCTCTGAACAGTTTTATTCCTCTTTCCATATGTTCTCGAAAAGCTTTAGAGTGATTCAGCCCATTTCTTCCCAAGCAATTTTCCTCCTTTATCATTTTAGGGGATCTTCTTTCAAATTTAAAACAGAAAACCTCTTCATGACGTTAGTTATTGCTTGAGTCAGATTTTTGGAGGGACATAAATGCTCCCCCTCCTTTTGCATTCGCAGTCTGTGGCGCTCTGATGGTAGAATCTGCATGTGCAAAGTTATGCTCAGAGCCCTGCAAATGCAAATGCCTTGGTGTGCAAAATTAGAGCCAGTGCTGAAGCCCTTATTTCTGACATGTGTCAGTCACATCGGTTGCAACATGGTCCTCATTGAGCGAGGAGGAGGATGGTCTCGTGATGACTGCGCTGGAGGAAGGCCTGGGTCCTGTCCCAGTCACTCTCACAAGACAGCGGTTACCACGGGTGAGTCCTGGCACCCTTTGCACCGTGGTGGTTGTAACCGTACCCCTGCATCTGCTGCTGTGCCAAGACGGCTGTCAGCACACAGTGGTATCTCCGGGGATTCATGTTTACGAACTCTGGAATGAGGTGTACAAGGCGTTGGTACTAAGCACAGGTGGTTTTCATCTGCTGTTTTATCTAAGGCAGGAGGGCAATAACGCCTCTTGCATCCAGTTTAAGGAGTTTGAATTGTTTTATTACTTTCTGTTGATGAAAGCAGAACAAATGGGATGACATGTTTGAAAATACCAGGTCTGTGAAGGATGAAATGGCAGAGCCAGCACGCTCTGACAGTTCCATCCAGCACAGAGATGCCTCTGGGAAGGTTATGAGTGGCAAGCTGGTGATTTCTCTGGCACAGCCCACTTTTGCACAGACGTAAACCAGTGTGTGTCCTAGTTTGCTATGCACTCTGAGCAGCCGCCATTAGTTTCCAGAGGAGCCTGTGGTTAAATAGCAAAGGATCATCCTTCTCGAACTGATGAAGGGCACCGTCTCCAGGGATGTGTGGTGAGGCTGGAGGACACCTGGAAGGCAAGGAGAAGCTCCCCACAGTTGAGGGGAAAAGCTGAGAGTGAGACAACAAAGGAGATTACGTTTCTGTGTTTCCAAATTTTCAGATGTTTTGGATTTGCCTGGAAGCCATGAGAGGAATTAGAAAGGGCATTTAAACCAGAAAGCAGTGCATTTCCATGCTCATCTCTTCTTCCTGGTGCAGTGTTGGAATTTTCCTATAATCTTACATCCTCTCCCTTCTTTCAAGAAATTCAAATTGGATGTTTGAAGTTGCAGTGTTTCCTGAACATGGTGAATCCTTGTCCTGTTTTGTTTGTAGATGACCTTGATGATGTATACGTTGTGTGTCTGCCTTCATGCGTGGTTTCAAAATGCTTGTATATGGAGTTGAGGCTGGGGGGAAGGGGGAAGTTCCTACCTTTTTGTGGGGACTGTCTATAGGAGATGGCACTGGGATGTTTGCTGTAAGAGAGCTCATGCCTGTTCCTGTCCTGCCAGAAGGACAAGGATCAAGCAGCGATCCAAGCAGAAAATGGTACAGATCAGCTGGTGGCAGGGACTGCTTCCAGCTGTTCTGGTCTGGCTGTTTCAGTAGGAGCTGCAGTAGGAAATACAATCAGAGCTCTAGAGGAGATCATAACTGCTGCAGGGCCAGTCTCTGCTCCAGGCCTTGGTGCTGGGGAATCATATAGGAGCTTCACAAAGATGCTTGTAGTACCATCAGGTCAGGAGGCCACACATATGGCTGTGCTGGCCCAGATCTCTTCTATTTTGGGGGAGTATCTGTCATCCCCCTGTCCAGCAGATGAGAAGGAGAGGGGCTTCCACAAGAAAGTGTGCAGGCTAACACCCCTCCTACTGGAGAAGGAGGGCTGGGAAGCCTTGCTAAGTAGATGGTATTAAACATGTCATCACCTTCTTGTTTCTTCTCTCACTTTCTGGCTTGTCCCAGAACTGCTTGCACCAACAAGTGCTATTCTGAAACTATGTTTGTGGCAAGCTTTAACGTAGTATGTTCTCTTTTTGCAGGATAGAGAACTGCGTCCAGAAGAAATTGAAGGTAAAATTTGTCGCTCCTTCTGTGTCACCTTTCTCCCTGCCCAGTGAAAACCTACTGGCTGGCCCTTCCAGGTTGGCCCCCTTGGGGTAAAATAATTTGGGGCAAATCAAGGGAGGCAATTACTGGAATAATTCCTGGCAACCCCAGGAAGAAGAAATAGTATGTAAAACTGCAAGAGTACTGACTGTAAAGGAATTTGCATCCATTCCATCTTCTTCAGGGTGGGAGGATAAGTAAAGTAATGGGATATTAGCTGTCAGGGAACTGCTGTCCACCCCAGCTCCCAAAGAAAATGTTGTAGAGCATGAGACAATAGTATGGCTCCAGGAAAGCTGTTTTACCTGCTAATCCTTACAATAAGTGCTATATAATATAGTGCACGGATAAAAGTTGGGAAAACTTACTGCTTCCAGTTTCTCTAGGGAGTGAAGTTTAGGAACTATCAGTTCATGGCACTTGTAGTCCAAGCAAGCTTTCCTGAAGGTTGGCAGTACTGCTGATAAAGAGCTTAACATTGCTCTAGTCATTGCCTCTTTGCAGGGAGATGTGCTGGGAAAATACAGAGTATCTTAGGGTGCCTGGTCTCATAAAGTGCTGCTGATTCTGGGGAGGTTTCTTGGAAAAGGTATTTCAAGCTGTCACTGACAATATTGTTCTTTTTTGGATCCAATCCCACAGAATTAAGAGAAGCCTTTAAGGAGTTTGATAAAGACAAGGATGGGTTTATTAACTGCAGGGACCTGGGGAACTGCATGCGAACCATGGGCTACATGCCTACTGAGATGGAGCTAATAGAGCTCTCCCAGCAGATCAACATGAACCGTGAGTAATGTCCACCTACCTGTACCTCCCTGTTGTTGCTGTGCCCTGCATCATTGCCTCAGGCTCTCTCAGTCCCCTGCTGTCTCTTCTCCTTTGTTTTTTTTTTCCCCCTGTTTTTGTGGTTCTCATTTTCACTATCATGTTTTCTGTTCATTTGTGGTCCCTAGCAGTTGATGCCTTTGTTTCTTGCTTATCAGACAAAGGGACTGTGTGGACTGTGCTGTATGGGAACAGTGTGTGGAAAGGTTGTCCTTCATGCTTGTGCTTAGACATTGGTGCACAGGTTGTGGGTGTTGTCATATTGAAGCTGGTGTCAGATGGTGTCAGACCGAAGAAAGAGCCTGGGAAGATGGAGATGCTTGTTCAGAGAGATGGGTCGTTCATTCTGTGGTGGGTGTTTGTGGGTATGCCGTGCGCCTGGGGATGGGCTGTGAGCAAGCTGTGCTGGCAGTCCCAGGTGGGGGCATCTGCTGGAGTCATGGAAAAATGTGACAAACATGTCTGATTCACTGTAACTGCATTTGTGCCCCTTGTCTTTCACCATGATTTTTTGTCGCCTCTTGTCTGTGGCAGTGCAGGGTACTACCCTCAGCCAGGTGGGAAAAAGGATATTTAGTGCATGTTATTTCTGACACATGATGATGTAAAAAGGACAAGTTACTTGATCAAGGGAAGGAAAACAGTTGTGACATACACAACCAGTCACACACAAAAGCAGCTGATAATCCTGGCACAGAAGTGCTTAGGAATTTGAGAGTGTTACTGCCAGCGTTCAGATGGGGGACAAACAAGGAAAAGCACTAATGTGATGAATAAACAGTTGGGCATATATTAGCCACCACTAATGGAGCAAGACTCTGCCAATGCTGCAGGGCACTGCCCAGGCCACGCAGGAACACCATGCTGTGCCCTTGCCATACCCTTTGGCACAGGTGCAGCAGAGGGTTGCTATGAGCTCTAGAGTGATCAAGCCTCTAATACGTGGTATGTGATGCCATAGTGTGACAGTCCATGGGCCTAGGATGGAATTAGCTTGGGCTCATTCCACTTAGCCAACAATCCAGAAAATAGAAAGGCAGTGTAAACCTACCTCTGCTTTTCCTTCCACTATCCTGCACCTTCTGTGCTTTGCTTCCTGGAGAACCAAGTCCTCTCTGGGGCACACAGAAATGTAAAGTGAGTGCTGGGCTTGGCTAATGTATAGAGTTCTTACATGCGATCTTTCCTCTTATCCCAAGTGGGTGGCCATGTGGATTTTGAAGATTTTGTGGAGTTGATGGGACCAAAGCTGCTGGCAGAAACTGCAGACATGATTGGTGTAAAAGAGCTCCGTGATGCCTTCAGAGAGGTGAGTGCTCCCTACCGTGTACCCCCCTGAGAGGTGAGCAACAGGAGACAGGAAAGAGAGAAGACCCACTGGGGAAGAGAAGAGGAGGAAGAGAGAGCAGCACAGTGGAAGGCAGAGAAAGAACCAAGCCAGACATGAAACAAGGGAGGAACAAAGTCACTGAGATAAGGGAACCCTTGAGGCAAGGAAGAGGAAAGCTGATGCAAACACAGCAGTTTTGAGGGGTTTCTGAGGAGAAAAGACAGACTGGATACAGACCAAAAGGCACCAAAAGGAGGGACACAAAAGGAATGCAGGAAAAATAGGGCACTCAGGAGCAGGACAATACAAAACCCAACCCAGAGCAAGATCCATTTCCATTAACTGTATTTCCCCTGCTGATTTTTTCATGTGCTTGCAGTTTGACACCAATGGTGATGGGGAGATCAGCACCAGTGAGCTGCGAGAAGCCATGAAGAAGCTTCTAGGGCAGCAGGTGGGCCATCGGGATATTGAAGAGATCATCCGGGATGTAGATCTGAATGGAGATGGGCGTGTTGATTTTGAAGGTGAGGAGGGATGAATGCTCCCTGTCCATCTGCTGTGGTGTGGGTCAGAGTTTCATCTCAGAGATGGAAGCAGAAGGGAAGATTTGCATGCTCAGGGCCCAGGTATCTGAAGTATGGAGAAAAAATCAAACAAGATGGGTTTTTTTCCTAGTCAGCTGAGGGAAATGGAGAACATTGGCCCACACAGGAAAATTCCTCAGCTGAAGTGTTCATTTGTGTATCATCTCCTGGATCTTCAATTGGGTCTCCATAATTCTAGCATGGTAGGAGATATGCCCTGTCACAGAGAAGCAGATTTGGGAATACACATGCTGTGCCAGCCTTCTTTTTATGGAGTATTTTCCCTACTGAGAAATCTATTGCAAGAGCTGTGAGGTGGCTGGATCGGTTTGGAGACTGCATTGCACCTTCTATTTCCTCTGGCTCACCTTATTATCTGGGTGTACAGAGAATTTGTTTCTGTGCCTTTATGGCAGGAGATGGTCACGTGCCAGATGTGCCCACTAGGACGGCAGATATCTGATCTAGAGGTGTCGTGTTAAATCCTAGAGATAATTAATTTCTTCTCCCATGTTTCATGCCAGAAGGACGTGGAAAAAATAAGAGTGGTTAGGCTACTATCCCAGCCATTAGCCATGGCAATATTAATAGAGCTCAGGGTTTCTGCCAAGGGAAGCCATTGATATCAGACAGCTAAGTGGATGTAAGAGCTGGAAAGTGTGAGAGTGTGGCAGGCTACTTGTTTTCCTAGTGCAAATCCGGACGTCCCTTTGCAGTAAGGGCAAAGCATAGGAACTATAGAATTAAAATGAAATTGGCATAATTTAATGCTCAGAGGCATGTTCCTACATGACAAGGCGTCTCAGTCCTCAGGATTACTGAAGCTTCTGAGGGCTTTGAAAATGCTAAAAAACTAGAAGTGTCTCCCTAGAAAGTATCTGGTAGCTGCAGTTGTTCTAATGCACTGGCTGATTACATGACAGTAGCTCTCCTTGTTTCCCACAGCTAAATTATGTTAGACAGCTAAAATACATGAAATGCTATCCCTGTACCATTTTCTCTGTGAGTTACCGCTTTAGTTGTCAAAGGACAGCTCCATCAATGGAAAAGGAGAAGTCAAGGGGGTAATTTCCACTGCCCTCCTCTTTGCAGAGTTATTAGTTCCTCGGCAATTCAAGTGCAGAATGAAAACACGTTTATATTTGATGGCATTTACACTCAATTTGAACAACTGTAATTGACTTCACAAGCTTCAGGGTGGTGAAGAAATAGATCCAGGCTATCCTTACAGTTAGTTAACCTGTATCTTCAAAAATAGGAAGTCCATCAAAGTAAACTTTTCTCTACAAAAATGCTGGTGCCTACCCAAACACAAGTGCTTTCCCATACTGGTGTCTCTGTGAAGTGGCGAACTTACTAAGAATTAGGCTGTGTTTCCAAGATTATAAGTCAAGGTTCTCTGAAGTTACAGTGAAGGGAAATAACAATTGCCATAGTGTCTCACAAGGAGTTGCTTGTGCAAACAAGACTGTACACTGACTGGGAAGGAGTCTGAGGCAATGAACTGACCCGCTAGTGGGATGATATCACCATATCTAAAGAAAAGATTAAAGCCCATTTTGTGTGAGCTCTCCAGGGCCAGTCATGGAGCGGCACAGACCTGCTGGCAGCGTGTGGACTCTCGGTTTCACCCTGGCTGCATGCTATCTCCAGGGAATGAGAGCTGGGTTGGGGACGTGGATGCCTTCCGCTTCACGGCTCTCTTCTTGTTGGTTGCAGAGTTTGTTCGCATGATGTCCCGTTGAAGATTATTCTCAGCTAAAGAAGAATCAGCACCTTAGAGAGGGCGGAAGAGGACCTAGATGGAGCATCTAGCCCCGATGTTCCAACATGAAGGTTTATCGGCTGGCTGCAATTGGGACATTGCAAGATGACCTGCTGCTCCTCCCTCATGGTGGTCCCCATGCCCCTCCACCCTTTCACACTGTGAAAGACTTGCAACTTCCTACAACTGGAACCATTCCTTGGAGATGATTGCAGGAAACTGCAGAGCCAGGACTTGCCATGATGCTTTCATGGGATATTTGCAACTTTAGACTCCTCCTCCCCAGCTTTATTCTCCCACCAGCTGCTGCAAAGCAAGAGCAGGAGAAATACTCTTGGCTTGGTGGATGAGAGCAAAGCCATTGGGACTGGTGGCAGCCTCAGGGCGTGCTCTGCACTTCTTGGTTTCCCTTGGTGAACTGTGTCTGTGTTTGCTGTCTGTGTGTGTGTGTCTATCTGTGTGAAGTTATTTATGCTTCCCCGGCACATATTCGCATCTCCTGTGGTTATGTTTACCAAGAGTAAATTTAAATACATGTCTCGTGGGGGGAAAGCGATAAATATGCACGCTGAAATTATGTGGAGCCTGGATGTCCCTGTGAGAGGTGGTGGCTGGGCTGAGGGGGAGAAGGGCTGCAGCAGATGCACACCCCAGCGTCTGCACTGGGGTCCGGAAGCGAGTCCGTGATGCAGGAGGGGAGTCACTACCAGCCACTAAGCCTGCGGCAGGGCTCTGCTCCTCCTCCTGCTGTCCCCATGGACCTCACCCTGGAGGTGCCTTATGGTGAGGGCAGTGTGGAGGGTCCCCACCCCTGCATCGCCCCACTTGCAAGGGGGTGGGTGAGAGCCCCTGCAGCGTCGCAGCAAGGAGCAATGGGAGAAAGGGCACAGAGGGGAGCTGGATGGGCGGGGGATAGGCAGCCATAGCCAGCCACCCCTTTTCAGACCAGTTCAAACATGATTGTCAGCATATGCACTGTGGAGGCTGTGCTGCGGGAGCTGAGCTGCAACACCATGGGTGCTGGGGATTGGCCAGGAGCCTCCTTGTGTGGCAATGTCCTGCTCTCCGGCTTGTTCACACTCAAAAATGCGGCACATGTCTGCAGCAGTGACAACAGCAGCCTCTGGGCCCTACCAGCTGCTTCCAGACACATCAGATGGTCCATCGTCCTTCCCCTTTCCTCAACATGCTTCCAACCTCCTGCTCCCTTCCCCTACCATGCCAGGCCTGCAGTTGTCCCCCTTCTTTGTGCAGAGGCTCAGTCACAAGTCGCCAGAAGTAATTTCTGCTTGCCTTCAAAGGGCATCACCATTGCTGTGCATTTCTCTGTGTAACTAGGAGCTGTTTTCCTCTCAGTTGCCCCTTTCCTCCAACTGGGAGGTTAAGGACCAATATCCTCCTCCTGCTTCCTCCATCTTAAATCTTTCACTTCGCAGGTTCCCTTTCAAATTCTTGGGGTCCACCAATCTGTGTCCCAAAGGAGGATTTTCTCTTCTGCTTTCCTGTTGCTGTGCCAACCAGCATAGGTGCAGCGATGGCTGATAGCCCAGCAATGGAAAAACTATGTTTCTCCTTATATTTGTGTGTGTGTGTGTACACTCGTGTTTGCACAGGCATGTGCACTGGGAAAGGTTTGTGTGTGCACACATAAAAGCAGGGAGTGCAGATAGGCACCTGGAAGTGCTGCAGTAGAAGAGTTTGTTTGCAAGTGGGTGTATGCAAACTATGTGTGTGTGTCTATGGAGCTGGTCCAGCCTTAGAAATGTGGGTGTGAGCCGAGAAATTGGAAAATGGGTATTTACAGATCTTCATATTTATGGGTGCAGCAGCTGTATCGTGCTTAGGAGATGAGGGTGATAAACTGAACAGAGTTCAGAGTCCTGGTAAGTTATATATGTACTTAGGATAATACTGAGGAGGGACAGACCTGTGCAGGCTTGTGTCTGCCATGGGGAATGTTGATACACAAATGTGCTTCACTTACAGTGGAGCCCGTTGAGGAAGAAGCATACTTGGGTGTGCAGAGCAAGAGGACAGCTGCACTGCTTGCCTGTGTGCAGCAGAGTGACTGTGCCTGCCTGTGGGGACCAGTGACAACTTGGGGCACATGCCTTGTGCTGTAGCCAGCATGCAAAAGCCCGATGGACTGTTGTCAGTCACAGGCATGGTGGCTGCCTCTGCCTGCTCCTTCCCAGGTCCTGCACTGAGCAGCTGCATCCTTTGCCTGTAGCAGCAGATGGCAGGACATGGTCTTAATTTATTTAAAATTGTAAACGCATTTCTAGAGATCCACAGTGCAGCATCACAGTAACAGGGGATGTTCTCTGCGAACTGCTGCTATTTTCACTTAGGCAGGTCCCTGTGTTTGTACCATGGCAGAGCTGTGTTTGTCTTCCCAAGAAACACAGCAGCACTGGTGCTAGAGAAGGGTTGGCCGCAGGACACTTTTGTGTCATTGCACAGGCAGTCCTGGAGCCACAGCTACTTCCGAGGAAAGCTGAGTCTCTGCCAAATGATCTGTAGCTCTTTTCTGCCAGGTCTCATGATGATACAGTGAACAGGTCACAGGGGGCAGGTCTCCAAAGCATTCATTTTTTTCTTTCCTTCCACCAGAAGCTCTTGCTACAAGCCTGGTTTTACTTGCACAACAAACCCCAAATAATCCCAGAGAGTTTTACTATTTTCTTCTGCAGGCAGGGTCAGAGATTAAATCTCCAATCTAAATAATCTAATTCCAGAGATAATCCTTTGCGTTCATCTCCAGTCCAGTACCAGGGAGGCTTCCAAACAGCTCCACATAGCAAGGCAGAGCTGGTCCCCTCTGGGCAGGCACCTGAGCCCCATAGCCCCATGTGGTTCAGGAGATGGCCCAGGCAGTGGGGCTGGCTCATATTGACTTCTTAGATGTCTCGTTATCCGTGACATCTGCTTCTGACCCACACATCTCCATTGCTCTTTTTGAACATCCCAAATTCTGATCCCTTTTTTCCTGCAGGAAATGGCTACTAGCCAAAACATGTGCCCAAATGATCAGGGCTGTAGACCAGGCAGGACTGATTCAAGACTGAGAGTCATTTCAGCACAGCTGCCAGGGGACAGGGAGAGATCAAGGGACTGAGAAGGCAGCCCTGAGCCTTTCACTTGTAGGCTACTGGTGTAAATTCAGCCTGCATCAAGGGACTGATAGCTCAATGGATTAGTAACAGGATACAGAGCCTTTGACAGCCGGGGCACAAGCTGGCATCAAGTTGTTGGTGACTGCAAGTAATGATGCAGGGGCGGCAGTGTAGGACATCACAGACACAGGCCATCACAGCACGTCCACCGTCCCCTGCCAGCAGCCATGGCCAGACCGTGAACCAGAGCAAGTGCTCCTCCTGCACCCAAATGAGAACAGCCACTATCCCCCCTCACTCGCTGCTGCTCAGTTAATCCCTCTTGCTTCACGATGGGCTGCTGATTCTAGGAAAATAATCATCCAAGATAGTTATTAGAAGATGCTCTGACTGGGGAGGCAGAGGAGGAACTGCAATGCTCAGTGCCTTGCCCTCTAAAAAGGCTGAGTCCTCAGATGGAAGGGAAAGAGGGGGGCTTTCCCCTCTGTTCAAGGAGGGGAACTCTTCCTTTTCAAGGAAACTCTTCTCTTTTCAAGGAAGAATTTCTGATATTTCGCTGTGAAATGTGCAGGAGCCCCAGGAGCCCTTGACAGGGACCCCAGGGCTTGGCACAGCCACAAAAGCCCTGGTGATGCTCCCAAGACAGGGGATGAGCTGCGTTAGCTCCCGGCTGCCCATGTACACGTCTGGGGCCAAAGAGACACCTTCAGCTGAGGGACCTGTCTTGGTCATACCTAAATGTTAGCTAGTAAATCCCTTCATGTCTGAAATCCTGCTCATGGGCACGTTTGGTGTGTGCCAAGCAGTTTGATGTTGGGTTTGTAATGAAGCCCCACTCACTGCCTGCACTACCAAGGCTGCGAAGGTCCTGCTGCAAGCCTCACGCTCCCTCCCCAGCTCACCGAGGCGCACAACAGGGTTTCAGCCAGACTCTGTCCAGCCAACACTTGAGCCCCCGCTGCCGTTTTGTGTGTCTGTGTTGAGACCCACAAAAGCCCTGCTGACCCAGGAGCCAAGAGGGCCAGTTGCCTCAGCCCACGTGGGCCATGCAAGGGGCTGTATGTGGCCCTCAGTGGGACCTTTGCTGGCTTGCTGGGTCTCAGAACTAGAAATGGTCATTGCTGATTGTAACCTCAACTCCACTGTCTCCTTGGCCCAATGATGATTCACGGCATCCCTCTTCTCCCTTCACTTTCACAGCTCATAGCAGTAACCTGGTGACACACAAAGTGTTTATGTGATTTAAAGTTGTGCTCCTGACCCAAATGCATCACAGTTTAAGCTGAGAAATCTTGAGAGGTTAGGGAGGATTGTCTGTAATCAGTACAAATGAGCTCCAGTGAGGCCTCCCTTGGCCTTGCCAACTGGACTGTGTTGTTCTGGGCATGGCTACTTGCACTCCTTTGCTAACTGAACTTGGGGGACACCCAACAGGTCACAAACACAGCAGGGACATGGGAGATTAGTCTGGATTTGATCAGATGCTGCCAGGGCTGGGGTCTGTAATGCTGAGACAATTTGCCAGGAACCAGCATGAGGTAGCTTAATCTGGAGAGGTGCTAAGCATGTGTGTTTTACACTACTTGTCACCTCGCAGTTTCAGGAATCCCTTCCCGGTAGCAGTGCTGGCATGGGAAGACAGCAGCGCCATGTCTGTCCTGGCCCAGTTATACCGCGAGCCCAAGAGCTGCTGTGACAGCAAGGACACGCTCTGGGGCCCACTCTGACCAGAGCAGAGCAGGTTAGGGAGCAGGGGGTGGGTGGTGAGTCTCCCCTCACCAAACTGATTTAACTTCTCCAAGGCTGTGTCCTGTTTAGAGGCCTCCGAGGTACATTACAAAAGCAACAAGCCCATTTAATTAACAATCTGCAGCTCTAACTCTTTATTTCTGAAGGCAAACGCATTGTGAAAGACCCAAATTAATAAAACATCATTGGGACTTAGGAGCAGCCACTGCTAATGCGGTTGGTGACCAAAGTGCAGATGCGAGCCTTGGCTGGCATCCGAAGCTTTGATCAGACAGAAGGGCAAACACGGATGCAAACATTAAGTTATTTGCTCCCCACCACCGTGTAGTGAGTTTCATCCAACCTCCACCTGCAATGTCTCACTCCAGCCCTCCCAAGACCTCGCCAAGGTCCTCCAGAAAAAAAAACCCAAACACGATCTTACGTTCTCCTCCAAAATGCAGCACAGGGAGACCCACCGGCAATGTAACCGTTACCTCCCCCACCTTCCTCTATTATTGGCTGTTGTAGTTTTCAAGCAGATTATTGTGGTCCGGAGTGGTTGCACGCCACGCAGCTCTCTCGCTCCTTACCGGGAGGGCCGGTAGCTGCTTTTTCCCATACTCGTTAGCAGGGGCGAACGGGCGAACCAGCGCGTTTTGTTGAGGCAGAGAATCGGTACCGGGAGTTGCTGTTCAGAGCACGGCGGACACGAAACTACCGGG